AATTTCAGAGCTGCTCTGCTCTTCGCACCTAAGGGGGCATGGACAAGTTTGACACATGGGCCCAAGTAAACCTACTGAGGTTCAACAAGTCCAAGTGCAGGGTGCTGCCCCTGGGTCAGGACAATCCCAAACATGAGTACAGACTGGGAGAACTCATTGGAGGCAGCCCTGTGGAGGACTTGGGGGTTCTCATGGATGAAAAGCTGGACAGGAGCCAACAGCTTGCAGCCTGCAGCACAGAAGGCCATCCCCATCCTGGGCTGCATCAAAACAGGAGTAGCCAGCAGGTCCAGGGAGGTGATTCTGCCCCTCTCCTCTGCTCTCATGAGATCCTACTGGAGTGTTGCATCCAGCTCTGGGGTCCTCAGCACAAGAAAGGTGTGAAGCTGTTAGAGTGGGTCTAGAGGAGGACCATGAACATGATCAGAGGGCTGGAGCACCCATCCTACAAAGACAGGCTGAGAGAATTGTTCAGCCTGGGGAAAAAAAGGCTCCAGGGAGACCTCACTGCAACCTTTTAGTCCCTAAAAGGGTTTTATTAAAAAAGGAGGAGAGCTACTTCTTACACAGGCAGACAGTGATAGGACAAGGGACACATAAACTAACACAAGCTTAGTTTTAAACTAAAAGAGGAGAGATATAGATCAGATGTTATGAAGAAATTCTTCCCTGTGAGGGTGAAGAAACACCAGCACAGGTTGCCCAGAGAGGCTGTGGACTCCCCATCCCTGGAAGTGTTTAAGGCCAGGTGTGGATCAGGCTTTGAGCAACCTGCTCTAGTGGAAGGTGTCCCTGCCCATGGCAGGATGGGTGGAACTCGATGAGCTTTAAAAAGTCCCTTCCAGCCAAACCATTCTATGATTCCATGATTGCCAATATCCAAAATCTTCACCTCCCCTTAAATATCCTACTGACTTCACTTGTTTTTTGGGGGGAATGGAATTCCCATTCCAATTTGCTGACAAACCTGCAGTACATAGGCCATAGGTATGGTTTTAAATCAAGTGATCCTTACAAAGCTTCCTACAAGTAAAAAGGAAATCATGTTTACAAGATGACTGATCATAAATAAATTTAGACAAAAAGTTAAAACACTGTGTGCATTTACTTTACTGTGCATCTACACAGTGTAAGTAAAGACAGTGTTACTAGAAAGCTCAGAAAAAAAGAAATCATTAATATGTGTAAATAACATTCTGCCTTAACAAAACATCTGGCATCTAAATATTTACAGGCACTCCTATTAAGCATGAACTGTTCAGGATGCAAAAAAGTAATTTAAAAACACTTACTGGCAATCATTATTGTTTTAGAGTTTCCTCCTAGGCTATCTTTTAACAGCCAAGTCAACACAGAGTCCCTGTAAGGCACAAATACTTGTTTCTTCTTTGAAAGAGGATTTGTTGCGTCCTGAGATAAATCAGCTGTGATGTGGAGGTAGAAAAAAACAGCAATTATGTATTTTCATTCATTTTCACAAACAGCATGTGTTAGGCTACTATTTGTGTAAGGAAATAAACAGAAAGGTATTTAATGACTAAAAAAATACCCAAGACAGACAAGCACAAAAATCAGAGACTTACCTAAGGCAGAAATAACGTTTCCCAGAGTAACTAGAGATTTGTTAATATTCCCTCCTTCCTTTAACCTAACCCCTGTGGCACCGGTGGCATCTGCTCTCTCACTTCCAGCAAGATCTACCAAATGAATCTTGCTAACAGTTTCACAAGGCATTTCAGAATCAAATTTAGCCTACAGAAAAAAAATACAAAGAAAAGTATGTTAAGCTATGAAACGCTGGAATTTTACTGAATCCAACTCAGTGGCCTTTTCCATTACATGACTGAATTTAACTTGTTTACAATAGCAGAGCTTCAGAAGACAGGTGTATTAGAGATGCCATAAAAAGGCATTTGAAAACGAATTGCAGCATAACTCCCACATTAATTCTTTAAATTGTAATCTTTGCTACTTCCTAGTCACTTACAGACAAGCAGTGACACTGTGAGTTGGAATTTACATGAGGCACAATGAACATGTGCTGCATTCATTTTATTAAGATTGCAACTTTTATACTATACTTAGCTTTGAACAAGTTATACCGTGGACACATTTACACTCTATTTCTTCCCCACCTCCCAGTACAAGTAAGTTGCAATTGCAACTTTTTGATTTTAACTGTGGCTTCCTCCCAGTTCCTATCTTATTTCATATAAATCAACTCATGTTGTCCTGTTTCAAACCTCCTTTTATTTTTACAGCACAGCAGTAGAACAAAATGTTTTGCTGCCTGCCTCTTGTCCTCTTCTGAAAGTCTGGCAATGAACAGCTCACCATCAGTGAACAGAGGGTGCATGGGAGTGTGTGTCTGTGTTATTGCAGGGAGACATGCAAAGTTCTATCAGGAGAACAAATCACCTCTATACTACCTTCTCTTCATCATGGAGGTTATCCATGGGCTGTCTAAAAAGCCCCCCCAATACAACAATGAAGAACAGGAGTCATTACAAAAGAGGTTTACTACACATAAGCAAAAAGATCACTGCACTCTGAGGAAACATTTCAAATCTCTCCAAGGAGTTTGGTTTTGTTACCTGAGTGAAGTTGATGGTGAAAATGGCATGTGACCTACTACTGACATCATTCATTCCAGTTGCAGCCGTTGTCCTATTTATATTTCCTGCATCCATAAGTTCCTCAACATCAGTATAATTTTGCACCAAATGTTTAGACAAGTCTAAAGAAAAGCAGAGTGTTATAATATGCTCATACAGGCACTTGATTTTCTTTACAAAAAGATTCAAGTTACCTTCAAAATTCAAATTACCTATTGCTTCAATTAGTGTCTACTGTCATACTCATCACTTAAGGAATGAGGCCTCATGTAAGCAATGGACAACTTACACAATTACAGTAAAGAATATGCAATCTTACTAAATTATTTAGTGCAATAACATGAGCATAATCCCACAAGAGACATGAACCTTCCCTGGTAGAGAACAGATCAAGACAATGAGATCCTAATAGGTTCTTTTCATCTAAACATTTAAGATTTATAAACTAAAGTCAACAAACTATTAAAACCAATTGCATCTCTTAACATTATTTAAAAATGTGTTATAAATTTACAGATTAAAAACTGTGTAATAATATTAGATTTGAGAAAGGAAGTAGAGATGCAAAATGAGAGGCTATTCCTTTAAAGCTTTTTACCAAAGGATAGCACTGTATCCATCATCACTTATACTTTAAAATATTAAATTCCCCATGAAAACAGACATTATATTCTAGAATACAGAAAGGTAATAAAATATGCAGTGTAAAACACTGGAAGTGTTTTTACCCTCAACATATGGCCCTTCTTTTGGGTGTTCTCGTATTCGCAAATTATTGGTTTTTGATGACTTCCGTCTGAGAAGGTCTCTCACACGTTCATTATAAATTTCCAGGTAACTGAAAGATTAGAAAACCACTGACTGATTCAAGAGCCTTCAAAAAAGGAAAGGCACGTTAACACTGCATTTGAAAGCAAGATGCTTGGAGAAAGCAAACAGATGCAAAGTTGGCTTAAGATAGTAACGTCTACAAGGTATTGCACCATAAGGAAAAAAGCAAGAGGCAAACAGAAAGAAAGCAGACATTTGCAAGGCAGCCTGAAATAAAGAGTAAAAACAAGGAAGACGCTGACCAGTAGAAATGGCATTTTCACTCTCATTTAAATGAAGCCAAGTGCACAGCCCTTGGATCGAAGTTACAAGTACTATGCATTATGACTGCGACTGCCAGCAAAAATCAATTACAGGGCTGAGGCCAAGCGTAGAAAGTTATTTTTGAAAACCACACACTCTTCTCAGAGATAAAGTGAAACAGGGTGGTTGTAACTGAAACAAGTTTGATAACACGCAAGCTGTTAACATGCCAAGACCTACCTGACTTCGGTTCGAAAGGAGGCCTCGTTCCGCTTTGTTTTTTCATTTATTTTGCTGAATAATCCTTCACAAATTCGAGGTATCAAACCTGCATCACCCTGCAATAGCAACAAGTCTTGTTTCCAAGGCTATACACGCAGGCACAATATATTCCAAAAAATAAAATCCAAGATGACTAGTTGAAAGTTTCAGCATTCAGAAAAAGAGAAAAAAAATCAAAACTTTCCAATAAATACTCTCTTGCCCTTCATTTAACTGCAGTCACCTTGGCACTTTAATCCTTCTGTGTGTGGAATGTATACATCAGCTCCATTTCTTTGCTATTGGGCCATGTTTTGTCCCTCTCATTCAGTTTGAACAATCTTAACTGCTTAAGGCAGAAACTGGCTCCTCAGAGCAACACATGGACTGCTTTATCTCACTAATCTGACTGCTTCTGTCTCAAGTCACTATGGACTTGGCAACAACTGCAGAGAACGGGACAAGAGCCATATATATATGTATCCAAGAGCCATTCTAGTTCAAACCCCCAATCCCCAACTCACAGTCCTTCCTGTCTAGAAAGACGTAGCAGGTCCTCTGGATAAATTAGGAGGCAATAACCAAATTAAACTTACATTCACTGCATCCCAGAAAGCAGCCAAATAAAATTTGGGACTTAACTTCTCATTGTTCAACCCTGCAGTTAAAGTTTTTATGTATGAAGTGCTCAGTTGGTTTAATAAAGCAAACAGAATAAAAAACTATTCCTACTCACAGATCCCTACAGACTACATGGTTTACTAACAAGGCTGCAACTATCTATTACAGGGCCCTTGCCACCTCAGCTAACACAGCAGCAGCAGGATGTCATCTCCTTGGTTAAGCTGGCACTTGAGAACCAAGCTCCATCCCAGTGAGGCTGCTGCTCCACCACAGACATCAAACAAGTGTCAGACTGTGACGTAGCAGCTAGCATCGCTCAGATGCCTAAGACACAGCACGCAGCAATCTTACTGCTCCAGGGAATGCCCTTCCCAGCTAAGAAGCAAGCCACAGCCAGGGTTTTTCCCAGCAGCAGAGAGGAGCAGGAGAGGGCCACACAGCTCTGGTCTCTTCTGACAAGGGGCTGCCTGCTCTCAGCTGTCCCATTCCCAACAAGTCTGATTAGACAGATGATCAGCTACCTGCTGAGCACACCTCCTCCTCTCCATCGCTTCAGGAAGACCACAGGTAACACTCCTTCAGAGCCATGGCTCCCAGGAATGACAGGAGAGGACACATACATGCAGATGAGCTTTGGGCTCAGGGCTCCAGACTCAGAAGCAGCTTACAAAACAGTCTGCCAGATACAATTTGCCTCCAGCCCAAAAATGCCTAAGAGATTTGATGCGATGGACTAATTCTAATTCTACTCACTGCCAAGGCAAGAAATGCTCCTGTGCTTAGAGTCAGGGGCCTTGTAATGAAGTAGGAGGCAAATTAGGACAAGCCCGGCCAAACATCCAACATGAACATAGCCCAGGCACCTAAGAGTTTGCCTGGTGAGATTGCCAACAGGAAAACACAGTGCCAGTGGACTCTCCTGCACCAGACTCTGGCACTGCAAGTGCTCCATGGGTAAAAATTTCTCTTCTACTTGGACCACCACATAAAATCCAATCCTTTTTTGCCCAAGCTCACTTCAGTCTGCTCCCATGCTCGTCCATCGGTCCTTATTCCCCCTGCATTCTCTGTCCCAGCAATCTTCTTCCTGGTACCACCTCTGAGCTCGCCTTCCTCTTTCCTTTGCCCAGATATAAGTCCTAATTCACCCACTCTTATCTCTTGTAATTGCATTTTATCCCTCACTTTTCCAGCTTCTCCCTCCTCATAATCAGAGCCTCTCTCTCCTTCTCACGCCAGGCTCCATTCTTGGAAATAATAACCTATTCTCTCCTCCTATCATACCTAGTTCTTCACCTGACTGCACCTTGGGTTAAAAAAAAAAACTCCTACATTTTGTGGATTGCAGATTAATCAGACATTTCTTGGGACAGTTGCCTCTGGTAACAGAGAAGCAGCCTTTCCCAATATATATCAATTACCAATTTCTACATCCAGTTAAAGTTTCAGGGTCCAATGTCAGAAATTCCCACATACATTTTATTTTTTTTTAATTTAAACACAGGAAAATGAAAAAACCTTTTCTTTAATCTCATGCTTGGAAGCACCTGAATAGTTTTAATTAAAGCTTAAGGAAAAACACATGAAAGATCCATCACAAAGTTTTAGGCAAATCATTAGTGTCTGACATAATTTAGCAACTGCAAAAAGAGGCTTAAAATAGGAAGTTCTAGCTCTAATTGAGTAACTTCAACCATAGCAATATAGTGATGAGAAAATCTGGGAACTGTGTGTTCTTCCTATTATATCAGGAAAATGTAAATCTTATAGAATGTACACTCTTTATTAGAAAATATATTGAAACATTTTCTCCCTTTTCACCCTCTACAGCTCCAGGGCAGGATCAGCTACATCTCTGACTTTTTTTTCTGGGCTACAGAGTTTCTAGTCATGGAAACTGGAAAACCAAAAAAAAAATGGTTCACTCCAGAGCTGAATTTTCTCATTAAAAGCCTTTTTTCCTTCTGCGCTATCTAACCATATTGCAATTTACATGTATTGGTTTTTACCCATCTATCTTGACCATAGGGAACAAATTATTCCCTTCCTTTCTGCAGCAGCTTTTCACATCTTGGAAGACTTTTATTGCCCCATAGTCTTCCCCTCTCTTCTCTGCATATGCAAGTCTGACTTTCCTGATAGATCATATTTTGTAGATCTCTGCTCATTCCAATATCTCTGCTGAAGACTTATTCTAACTGGTCCACATATTTCTTGAAATGACTGCTGCATACGGAACTGCAGAAGAAGTCTTCCGGACCCAAGAACAGCAGATATTGAAAGCAGAATGAGAACAGAATTCAGACTTTTTAAGGAGAAGTAGGGAAAAAAGAATATTTATTTCCAATTCAAGTTTTCTTATAGCACTGTAGTCTCTCTGACAAGGCCATCAATTTTCAAGCATTTAACCTGCCAGCTGAGTATATTTTATACACGCTCTGTACAAAGCCAGATTAAAGTATTTATGTATCATGGCAAGAAGATTAGACCTTTATTATTGAATAGTGTCAAACAAACTTCAGCACCTATTCATTTGCAAAATGTCTTGATGATTACAGTCATTACATATAGTGAGGCAGTCTCATAAAAATGTCACTTTTATAAATTTCTGAAATAGAAATCCACATCTAGGTCATAAGATCTTTTCTGGTTACAAAAGTCTATTCTGCTTACGATATTGAAGTTAAATAGAAAGCTACTTATTTTGTGACAACTGAAAGAAAAAGATTTACAGCTAATTTACTCTCCTAAGCTAGAAGAGGTACAGAGTACCCAATCTTACTACATTTCAGAAGAGTGATCTGCCTATGGAAGAACAAGTAGCAATATTCCCCTTTCCAATTCTGTTAGGAGAAGACACAATGTATTTCTTTTCCTGAGGATTAAAGAATGAAATTTGCAGAGGCTGCTCCGCAAACAGGCTTCATCAGTCAGCCTGTTTAAACGGCTCCACTCCCAGCAGTTCAGTGGGTTCTCTCTATCCTTGGACAGTCATGGAGGCAACTGCAAAAACCACTCCCACCCTTTACTCACAAACTGCCAAACACTCCTATCACACCTTCGTCTTCCAGAGTCTTCACTGGAGTGCTCAACAGGACTTAATCCTTAAAATTAAATTTACTGGATCATCTCATAAGGGTTTGGTGAAACAGACCTTTAGCTCATCCCCAGTTTCTGCTCCTCACCTGACAGCCTTCTCTAAACAGGGTCAAGGGCCTATTTAATCTTCTGACCTTTCAAAAGAGGTCTGAAAAGCACATCTCTTCAGAAAGAGCTGATCATTCACATTCTCAAAATCAGTATATTTTTTTTGTCTCGAGTTGGACACAGAAAATCAGCAGTAACACCTGAAATTTTTGGTTCTGTTACTGAGCAAAAATGATTGGGTTTTGTTCAACATAACACAGCATCACTTAAATATACTTCTTCCAGAGGTAAGTGTCTAACTATAAAAGAAACAGCTTCCAAAACCTCTGATTACTACTATAAGGTATGACACAAGGGGGGGTCAGTAGCATTCAGACAGCAGCAGTATTAATAATTTCATAAAAACATGCCCCTGTAATAATTTCAATTCATTGCTGCAGAATAAAAAAATACACCTGCTCAGCTGATGTGGGGCAAGCAGTGGACATTGTCTACCTGGAATTCTCCAAGGCTTTCAACATGGTTTCCCACAGCCTGCTCCTACAGAAACTGATGTGCTATGGTCTAGGCAAGGGATCTGTGTGGTGGGTGGGAACTGGCTGGCAGGCTGCACCCAGAGGGTGGTGGCAAATAGCTCCTTATCAAACTGGCAACCTCTCATGAGTGGGGACCCCCACAGATCAATACAGGGCCTGACTCTGTTCAATATCTTTGTAAGTAATCTTGATGACCGAATCAAGTATAACCCAGGAAGTCTGACAATGATACCAAACTTAGTGTGGATGTTTACACTTCGGAACAAAGAGCCACCCTGTAGGAAGACCTGGATATGCTGGAAGAGTGGGCTAACAAGAACGCCATAAAGTTCAACAGAGACAAATGTAAGGTCTTGCACCTGGGAAAACATAATCCAGGAATGCAGCACAGGCTGGAATCAACCCAGCTGGGAAGCAGCTCTGTGGAAAGGAACCTGGGGCCACCAAGGTCAATATGAATGAACAGTGTGGCAAGGAAGACCAACAGAATCATAGAATCATAGAATTTAAGGGTTGGAATGGACCTTACGGATCATCTAGTCCCAACCCCCTGCCATGGGCAGGGACAACGCCTCACTAGATCAGGTCGCTCAAGACCACATCCAGTCTGGCTTTGAACCCTTGCCAGGGTTGGGGCAGCCACCACGTCCTTGGGCAACCTGTTCCAGTGTCTCACCAGGATATGGATTGCACGAACAAGAGCATTGCAACAACAAGGGCTGAGATAAAGAAGTCACTATTCCACTCTAAGCATTTGTCAGGCCACACCTGGAGTACCGCGTCCAGCTTTTGTCCCTGTTATAGAAAAAAAAGGATGTGGGCAGGCTGGAGAGGGTCCAGAGAATGGCCAGAAGGATGACCTCAAAGGACTGGGAAGCTGCCATGTGACGAAAGGCTCAGAGAACTGTCTTTGTTCAGGCTTGAGAAAAAAAAAAAGGCTTAGGGGTATTTAAAGAGTGGCTACAAAGAAGATGGAGCCACATGCAAAAGATGAGGGGTAATGGGTACAAATTACTCCTGGGGAGATTGTGATTAGACACAAGTGGAAAATTTTCCTCAACGAAAACCATCAGCCATTGGAATAATCTCCTCAGGGAAGTGGTGGATTCCCCAGCAATGGACATTTGTAAGATCTGGCTGGACAGGGTGCTGGGCCATCTTGTTTAGACTGTGCTTCTGCCAAGAAAGGTTGGATCCAATGACTCTTGAGGACCCTTCTGATGGTATTCTATAATTCTATGAAAACACAACATACCGCATTTCCCATCATGGTGTAGGACTTCCCAGATCCAGTCTGTCCATATGCAAAAACACAAGCATTATAACCTTCAAAAGCAGATTTAAGCACATCTGTACCAAGATTTTTGAAAACCTAAAAATAAAAAAATAAGGTTTTTAAGTCAACAGAAGCTTGGCGAAAAAAATTGCCACCAGCACAGCAAATGTTAAGCAATAAACTACAGCAATATAGTGGTTAAACACAATGATATTTACTAGAGGGGAAAAAATTAATACTTCAAATAAAATACTAAATCTTACTACCATATTTAATTTACAGCACTGCAAGGGTATGTTTTTCTTTCTGTTTCTGTCAGAGATCCACTTGACATGTCTGACAACAAAAAATGCTCCCTTCTTTTCTAGATCTCTGATTTCTTTCAGCAATCTCAACTACTTCATTCACTTTTCCTCATTGTTAGCATCTACTCACTTTCTGTATCTCTGCCAGCTCTTCATGTTCTGCAAATGTCCAGTCCCTCCTCAAAAGGAAAGTTTTCAGTGATCCTGTCAGTTTCTTGGTATGTCTTTTTGGAGGGTTTTGGTTGGTTGGTTTTGGTGTTTTGCTTTAGTCACATGTAAGAACATGACTCAATTTTCTCTGCATTTCCTCCTGAACTGGGTTTTACATACCAATACTTTTTAGGTTGGCAAACACAAGCATTTGTTTTCTGTACAGTAAGTGACCTTCTTTCATTAGCTAACCCTTCCTCTTTTGCCCTCAACATGTAAAAGCCAGTAACAATCCCTCTTTCACATCCCATAATATGGGACTCTGTTCTCACCAATAAATTCAGCTCTCACCAGATGCCTTCACCACCCTCCTCTGCAATACCGGCTCCAGTACCACTCACAGATTCCTGACATTTCATTATCATTATCCCTCATTTCAATCCATACCCCTCCTTGGGCCACTAGGCAAGGAGTAACACTTGGTGCAGCATTTCTCTCAAAATATAAATCTGTGTCTCCCCAACCAGACGTGATTTTCAAAAGTTTTACAGATGCTTCACACAGTTTGGCTACTCATCCACAGCATATGTGGTTTAAACTACCCAAGGAGTACACACCATTATTAATAGTAAATGGCACACACACATTATAATCATGTTGCTTCTCCCTGGAAGGAGTGCCAGGTAATTTCTTGAATCACTAATCCTCAGTTGCAAACATGCCTTTGGAATGCTTCGCCTGACCTTCCCTTGAGCAAAGGAGTTACAATCCTGTAATTGGTTATATGTCTCAAACAGGAAAAGTATAAAGATGAGCCAAACTCCCTTATTCTTTCCCCTCTTTTTCTCTATGTCCAAGTTTTCACCTCACCATATCGACCAAGTCTTTATGCACTACTGTTCTAACTAAATTTTCCCTCTTAAAAATTTGTGTACACCTTGCAAAGTGATTTGAGGTAGCACATAGGACAGTTGCAGTCAGCATTGTCCAAATACAAGTTAGAAGAAAAGACATGGTTAGGATGGGACACTGGTTTGTCACAGAAGGGCAGTAAACATCAAAATTCTCTTTGTTTCTCTGCCAGGAATGCAAACTAAGTAACTTCATGGTAAATTGCCACTCCTACTCTAATTTTTGAATACTAAAGCATAATTTGCATCTACAAGGCATATTAATGAGGCATACAGTATTAGACAAACTTCTACTTGTTATTTTTCTCCCTTTCAAATGGAAAAACACAACAATCATGAACAAAGGGCACTAGGCAACGGCATTACCAACAATCAAGATCAATTTTATTCCATGGCAAGACAAATGTGAATGAAAGATGCACTTCTATGCCACTGGTGCAGCAAACTGGAAATTCTGCAGCAACTTGATAAGAGCTTAACTACAAAGTCTTTCGATTAAATATGAAATTAATAACACAAGCAAAACAATAGCTTGTGCAGCATTTGCTTAGAAATTGCACTCCTATGGTTTAAACACTCCTTTTGTTTTCAATGTGCTGCACACACTGCAATTAAAGCAACACTTGAACAGTATTCTTGTGGCTGAGCAAGAGAAGTTCATACTCTTGCCAGTAAGGATGAAGGAGGCAGTCCAGGGTTGTGGAACACTCTGTAACAGCAAGATACTGAACATAGATATCTAAGCCATGTTTAGGATTTATTGTTAGCATCCTATCAGTACAAATCATAAAGCTCACAGCTTTAAAATAGTCATTGCTCAAGGCTGCTGGAGCCATCACTATATGGGCATTTTCATTTATTTTTTTCTCTACAGACTCCTGACATGGGCAAGTTATACTGACCCACTCTGAGAGGCAAAATGGCACCAATAAGGAAAAAACCGTGAAAAGAGAAAATTTATCACTTACATGTGGAAATTGAACATCAGCGCAGGATTTAACTTGGATATCTATTTGAACACATCCCATTTTCCTTTGTGGATGGCTGTTTCAACAAGAATTAACTTCATTGTTTCACAGCATATTCAGATTCTGGAAATAACCTCCAGTGTAACAGCAAGAGCCTAACCACACAGTGACTCTCTTCTGTGGTTCTTCTAACAAGGCCTTGTCTAACTAACACAACTTCCCAGAAGTATCAAAAGGCAGGTAAAGAAACAGCTGCCTAAAGGATCCAAGAACTAAATATCCATAAACCTAAGCCACAATTGGTGCTTAAGAAGAATTTCTGGCACTACTTTCATAGCACATTTTGCAGACTTTTCCAAATATGCACTGATACAGCATTAATACTGTTCTATGGAGATGTATTCATCTATATCATAAAGAGCTGAGAATATGTTGATCAGCCAGCACCAAGAATTACAGGCATTTTCATGACACTAAGCAATATTAAACAGAGATCCTAATCAATTTCCATAAGCAAACTTAAGGCAAGTATTTGTTGTGTTTGCAAACCCATGACCAAAATCTTAAGTTTCAATTAGAATCAGAGCAGAAAAATACATGGTCAAAGCCACATGCTCAATTTAAAGCATTTGCTAAAGTTCTAGCAAAGCCATATGGCCTCAAATGGGTGCTTAAAAACACCCACTAGAAACTCAGGTTCAAATCACTGCACACAAGTACACTGCTACTTCCATTTGCCACAGTGCTGAAGAAATCAGGGTATTTCTACACCAGTGCCCAAATAAACGTGTACTTCTGGGTATTTCAGAAAATACAGCAAAAACTGTGCTACTTAGAAGAACATCATGAAGAAATAACAATCCAGAATGTTTATTAATATACATGATCAAATGTTTGGATGAAACTAACTAATAACTCAGTGAAATAAAAAAAAAGCATTCAGAAAATATGAGGAACTATCACTCACATGGATGGTTAAAAAAGAAATTTCAAGTATAAATTCCCTATCAATTCTAGTAATTATATATAATGGCAAAGCTTGCCCTTTCCATAAATATTTTAAATTGGCTCCAACTTACTATTTCTCATGACTATTTTTAATTGTGAGGTCTTTTAGGGTTAGCAATACCATCCTTGATTTCGAGAGTTCCAGAATAAATAAGGTACATACCAAAAAGGTCTGTACCCAACTGGCTTACAGGACATACAGAAAACTCTCACATTATTTTAAGGGTAAAGAAATACTCTTACTTGAAGTTACAGCATCAAAACAAAACCAGAAGACAGCAATCACAATTCACTTCACAAATTTATTGAGGAATGTGAAATAGCAGAAAGGTTCAACGTTCACACGAAATGAAGGTTCATCTGCTCATCTGGATAATGCCTATAGCTCCAAGTTTGATTTTCTGTTCTGAGTGTGCAGGAAGACAAACAGTTTTGTCCTTTCCCAAGCTGAATACTCAAGAGAGAAGAAAAAAGAATCTTCCTCACTGTGTACCAAGACTTTTGGACAAAAAAACCAAACACTTTGACCAGATAAGAATGTTTCTGTCTAAGTGAATTAAAGATATATGCTTGATTCTTCAAAGTGATTATTTTTTCTAAAGTGCTTTTCAAAACCAAATGCAGCGCTCAGAGATGTTTTCTAACTTGACCTTACAAGACAAATCAGACAAGAGAAGCAGAAAGAAGGCATTTAGCCTGCTATATTATAAAACACAGCACTTACATTGTTAGATAGGTTAAAAAAGCAAAACAGAAAAGGAAGCAAAATTCAAACTCTCAGGTACCAAGGGAATTTCTGAATTACACAAGAAGCACTTTCAATGAAAGGAAGCTTCTTGGAATGCTTTCAAGCCAAAGAAAAGGCAAAGGAAAGAGATAAATTATTAACATTCAGAAATCCTACCATTTCTTGACAAACAAAGCTGGGGCTTTTACTGTCTGCTGAGAAATAGGAAAAATCATAGGTAAATGTCTTTGTTCTTTCCCGTCCTGTGTCTCCAGTAGCACCCTCTGGTACCTATTAAAAAAAAAAAAAAAGAGCTGGTACAAGACATCATGATGAAGTAATTAAAACTGCTTGACAGTAAATAATCAGAATGCAAACTTGACATAAGGCTATACACATTTAGAAATTTATGACAGGCTAGACTATTACTCCAACAACATTGACAAAGTTAACAACAGATATGCTGTGTCTCCAGTAGCACCCTCTGGTACCTATTAAAAAAAAAAAAAAAGAGCTGGTACAAGACATCATGATGAAGTAATTAAAACTGCTTGACAGTAAATAATCAGAATGCAAACTTGACATAAGGCTATACACATTTAGAAATTTATGACAGGCTAGACTATTACTCCAACAACATTGACAAAGTTAACAACAGATATGCCTTCAACAAGGAACATCACAAATTTTTTTTTGAATTATTTAGGGTTTAGTTTATTGCTCCTAACACCACAGTAGATTTTTGTCACAATACTTATGTTCAGTTACATCAGACCTGTATATGACATTACTATAATCAGGGCTTATCTGACACATATAATTTATAGGAGCCAGAGAGGCCTTTTCACTGGTAACAGCACTTCAACGTAGAGTCATAGTTAAAATGGTGTTACATACCTGCTGCTTAAGGCTATCATCATGCTCAAGACATGGCAGCTGGCACTATACTTCAGCAATATTCACTGTGATCCAAATCAGTCTGAACAAACTATACACTGCAACTCCTACACATGGAAATTCCTTTTCATGTATTTGTCATTAGAAACTGCCTTGCAAAAACCTATTTGCTGTGCATGACTTCTCTTGCTGAGAGAAAAGCTAAAATATACCATAAAATGTTATAGTAAGTGATGGGTACTTCGACTTCGTTTTCATGGGAATTCCAGAAGACTTCTATAGATGAAGCAGAGGTTTAATAGCTACCAGGCACATACCTCTCTTCTATTGCTGGCTTTCATCTTCCACCTACATAACCAGAGTAATAAACCTTTGAAAAACCGATGAGATACAGGCTACAGAATGGTTTTCAGAAAACCACAGTGCTGCAAGTTAACAGTGTAACCTGTTTCCCCAAAAGATTACTTAAACACTGTATTTTAAAAACTAAGAGCTGCTCTACACAGGGAAGTGAGCACCTCTGTTTTGTCCAGTCATATTTTGGCAGCCATTCAGTTAGAATAGCTTTTAAATTGTCTTTGCTCACCTTTAAGTTTGTGATTGTCGTTTTGTTTTTTTCCATTGAAATAATAAACTTTGCATTAAGGTCTTTCTCCCTGAAAAAAAGCAAAAACAAGAGATACTTGAGTATATTAAATAAAACATACCACAGTCATATTTCCATCCATCAGGTTTCTTGCCATAGTCAATTATCAAGTGAAATCATTTTTATTTCATTGTTTAATTGCTGTGACCAATATTTATTTCTTCCTATGGGATATATTTGAAGTACTAGGGCTCACCTCCAAATCCCTTCATCTACAAACTGCAGAAGCTTGGGGCAATCTGTGTCTGAGTCGACTTGCAGAGCTGAATTTACATGGCCTGTTGCTAATTTGAAGTACCCTGATCCAAAGCTCAGCGAAGTCAATTATGTGGCTCTAAGGAAGGGTGAAACAGGACATTCCAAGATAAATCCCAGCTTCTCACCACCACCTCAGTAGCAGCAGTTGCCACTTACCCATATAGTCCAGGTTAACAGGAACTAAATGTTTAAATCACAAACTCCTTGTATTTTAAAACTCTTAGAAATGAGGTACCAAACATATTTTTTGAGCTGTGATACATCATGGCACTCCCTACCAAGGGAGTGTTACACAGGTTTGTTGCTTCCCAGAACAAAAGGATTGCAGTTTTGCAGCAGTCTTTTCATGCATTCATATCTATTTCACATCAGTTGTTTCTGACTATGTTCAAAACTATAACATAGAAAATCATGAGCTTAGCATATAAAGCCAGCATGTATCAACCTGCTTGCTAAGACAGGATTTTGTTATAGTTAGTCATAAGAGCAACACAGGCTACTCCTGTATGACAACCATGAGCACCCAACACCTTCCGTATGAATAACAACATGCACATGAGAAAAAAAAGAGCCAGAAGGCAGACACACCCCACATGAACCCTTGCTCCCCAAATGCTAACAGACACACCTGTTCCAAAACCACCTGCTAAGTCATCTGCCAAACTGGTGTGCCTGACTGGTGCAGAGGAGAGCAGAGGCCTTTAGAGCAATCAAGTGCTGCTTTACCATATCACACCGTATCTATCTCAGTGACTACTGGATATTCCCTTGCACCAGCCCAAAATGCAAAGGAAAAACCTCTTCCTGATAACAGGAGACGTAGGTTCAGGATCTTAGTGTGACAGTTTCTTCCCCATGGTGCACTGGATCACCCAACTCTGTGTTCCTCCAACTGACTCTGCAGCTACCCTCTCTTCATACTCAGTTTTGCAGCAGAAATACTAAAGAAAAGCAAACCTCATTTAAAAAAAACTAGATTAATGAATAAAGATTAGGCAAATAAAAGTGCTTAATTAAATATCAACACATTAAGTTATTTTCTAAGCTAATAAAAGATATAATTGTAATAATTACAGCATTCATTACACAACTGAATTTAGATGTACCATGAAAAATGTTAGAGGCATGCCTTAAAATTACTAGATCTACACTGAAGAGACTGAAATACCAAAATACTGATAATAAACAGGGAAATGAAGAAGTTTCCAATGGTATTCTTTTTGAAGGAAATAGACTTTGGCATTGCAGTAATGCAGCCTGTGGATGGCTATCATTCATCCTGCTTCCTCTATGTCTGTAGCTATTTGCTCAGCAAAGGTGTACTAAGTGATCTAGCCCAATTAAACAGTCAATGCTAGTATGAAAATCTACTTCAAATATATACTCCAACCTTCTTCCTCTAGGAAGTTTGTAAGGACTCTAGGCAGGAAGAAGTTTGGGCCAGAATTACAGCTTTTTTCTCTTGATTTCTTCATGCTTGAAGTGTGCAAGGGGAAATAATAATGATTTCTTTTCCAGACCTATCCAACCCTCCACATTACTCTCCTACAGCTATTCATAATGGAAGACTGATACAAAATGCTTAAAGTCTAACACCCATATATATGAACTATAAAAAATTCTGCAACACCTACAGCAATTAATATTTTTATAACACTGATAATATTACTAAACATTATCAAGAATGAGGATTTCAAAGTTGAAAAAAGGCCTTGTAAAGCACTGGCCAATAATTCAATTAATGAATAGAATTTTGCATTTTTGTAGAAGGGACAACCTAGAACAGGAATACTATGATCCAAAGTGATAAGCCAACCTGAGAAAAGTGAAAAAAAATAATAGGAAACAAATGCTAAAGCTTCATTTTAATATGCAACAGCTGAGTATAATTTATAGTACACATAAAGCATCTGAGAGCATCCCATAAAAAACAATTGCTTGCATGATGCCAGTTATTTCCAGGCACTCATTTAATGCAGCACGGCAGGGAGTGAGTCCCATTCAAGAAGTTTTGATTGCAAGTTCCACCTTAATTAAAGGCTCAGGCTGTAAACATCTGTATTGCAGCACTGGGTATCCTTCATGGCTAGGAGAACCCTACTGCAAGCAGCTGCTCCTCCACCATCCTTAGGAACCACTAGCCCTACCTCACCTAGAGACAAGCTCCAGCCACAAACCAAACACTCTACTCCTGCAAATTCCAGCCCCCATGAGAAAGCAGCATAAAAGGTCTTGCTGCCAAAACTGGCTCACAATTAATGCTTTGATGACTTAGGAGAGCCTGCTTGCTCCAGAGCCCAATCTGCTCCCACAACAGCACTGAGGGCCAGCCTCCAGGCTCTTCTCACTGCTGTTTCATACACCATGTAGAGTTCCAGGATCACAAGGGAAGCAAACTCGTAACCCATGATCCGATGGCCCTTAACCAAATGACAAAGTGATCATGGGGCAAGTTTCTTGGCACAGACACCAGGAAATAAATCAGGCCAGTGCTGTTATTAATCCGCTACTATTGCTCAATTCAGCTAATCATCCAGAAAGTAACTGCAAGGGGAAGATGAGAAAGAGGGAAAACTATTTCAGATAATACTGACACTTAATTTTAATATAACATAATGTCACTACTAGTACCAAGATAAGCTTAAAAGAACTAGTATCCTTGTCTTGTAATGGGATAACTTGAAAAATGCTTTATTTGAGCAACGTTTTAATAATTTCTCTTCATGCCAAGGGCCATGTGGGTTATGCAGAACTGCCCCAAGCTGTATCAGTTGTATATATGTATATATAGCTATATATAAAGCTGTAGATATATAGATATAGATATATCAAAACACAGCAGCTCCATGGAAAAAGTTCCAACACAGACATCTCTGTGTTAAGTTTCTTTCTCTCTCTCCCTTATACTCCCTGCTTACCTTGAGGGCAAAGACTAGAGCAGTTTTTGGATCTCCATGGGCATCTAGCTGAAATCATACTACAAACAGCAAAGTATTAGCAGTATCTCCAGATTTCAAGGGAACCTTTAATGACCTCTGTTCATTCAGTCATTTACCCACCCCAAGACTGTTTGAAGATCCTCCCACAGAGAAAAGGGAGAAGAGCATGGAAAAGCACTGTGACCTCAAATAGAAATCAACAAGAGAAGCTTCACAAACAGCCCCATTACTGACAGGCAGAATCTGTTTGATCTTTTTCCAAGTTCATCTTTAAGCTCCTTTCTTTGAGGTCATTCAATGGAAAGTTCAGTTATGTTACAGTGTTTTTTAATTAATCCATTCTGTATTATTCAGATAGTAGAGCGTTTATTACAGCCTACTCCATGTAAATTCATGATACTATGATTTCCATTAAACTGATATGACAGGAATCAGTTGTGATTACCTGTCAGACATGACTCTGAGAATAGAACAGAAAGAATGACATGGATTTCATCTGGGGGGTGGGAGAGGAAAACCAAAAATGACAGGACAGAAAGTCCCAGTTTTCCCAGTGTTTCAAATAATCACTTCAGCAAACCTCTAAAACTACACAGTCAAGGACACAAGCACTACCTGAACTGCCTGCAGAGTACCCTCTGTGTCAAAATAGGAGGGTCTGCAAACTATACTCTTGGAAATTCACTTAACTTTGGACACTTAATGGAATATCTATTGGAAGAGGATCATACTGAAGAGCAGATGTGTGATTTTGTTTTTCAGCTACTCAAAAACATCATCCGAGAATTCATAAAAGCAACTCAAGCTCAATGGCTTTTCTTTTCAGCAAAGTGCCTGCTACTTCTTAAGTTGACATTTTAGGCACAATGTTAGATGTTTTCTGTCCCATCACTCTGCTTGTTCACTATCCAGTTGCATGGGGTCACAAAGTGAACGCACGGCAGTTGCTTAATGAACAGGAGAATTCAAGGTAAATTTAACTGAAAACCAGCACAAAGTGTGTCACAGAAAGAACCTTGCATTTTCTGGTAGCTTGATAACATACTAACTGTACATTTGCCCTGATGTTCCATCAAATTACACAGACAAAGAGCACTTTCCTTTGTCTGAGCAACTCTTATGCGGGAAACATCAATACAACTGTATGCTTTAAAAAGTCAAACAAAAAAACAAGAAAATCTTTGTTACTTTCTGTAACTACAGCAAAGTAAAGTTGTTGCAATCCAAAGTATCACACAATTTCTCTTTCCTATGCAGAGGCTTTTCTTTAGTTTTTGGTGTGGTTTTTCATTTTGTTTGTTTGCTTTTAAACTTCTTCGATGCTTATCAAATCATTTGTAGAAAGTACATTTTTTACAAATGTGATTCCATATCTAGGTGCAGTTTAAAACATAAATCTGGAGGTCGGTAAATAAAATATATTCATCACCCTCTGAGTTAGAGTAATTTTTTCCATAAACATCAATAATAAGTAGTTTCAATGTAATGTTGGCTGAGACATAAAACCAGAACAAGTCAAGCCATCTGATTTAATCACAAGTTTCAGTGAATCCACTGTGGCTTGGTTTACCAGTCCTACATGATTACACTGTATAAAAATCACAGTTGTCTCCACAGCAGGGCAATAGCACAGCATATCCTGAGCTCAAAGCGACCCCGCGGTATTGACTGACATGCCTACAAGCCCATAATTAAATGGCTGAAGCCATGTTTACACTAGTAGAGTGTAAAAGTTAACAGTGACACACTGTACACCAAGCAGCACAACTGCAATCAGATGTCCTTCAGAGTTGATCTGAGGGGAGCTCTAGGTGGATTCGGTGACAGCTGATAAGGGTCACAGCCTCGCCCTCATTCAGGACTCTGACAGCAGTCTGTTTTCTCTGAACAGCACATCTTCATTATCTTTGAGACCTCTACTGAGCTGTCAAATCCATCTGACACTGGACAACAGACTCAAAAGCTCTGGGTGTGCCAGTTCTCAAGATTCACCTTACCAAGACAGACAAGAAAACAGCACAAAAACCTCCTGGAGACTCAGCTTTCTATGGGTCAGATTGTGTTTGTGTCTCAGTAGGAGACACAAACTGTACACCTATTAGGTACTTTAAAAGAGAACTTTGTTGTAAAGCACATTTTGTGTGGGCATAAGGTTTTCTGTGATCAATGTAATCTTAATTTGCTAGACTAGATTTATTATGATAATCATGTTCCCTTCTGTGATGCCAGTTTAAAAAATAACATTAGTAAATTCTGCAAATAATTAAAAGAGAAAGCTCTGCTACTCCCAGAACTTTCTTCATATTGCAGCTGAAACCAGAACAATAAATCCAGTGACAGAGAATGCAGACACAGGGGAAATCTTGTACATCTCGTGAAACAGAAATAATCCCTAAGTTTATATACTAGTACACACATATCCGTTCTTGTATGAAGGACATCCTAGATTAAATGCCTTTAGCCATAAGAATAAATTTTCCAACAACACTGGAAGGCAGCAGTTTAATCTACAGCAGCAAGGCTCTCCTGGAAAATGAACGTACAGGTGTCCTTGTGCTGTCTTCTGCTGAATGATATCCTGCTTTTTGGGGAAAACTATGCACACTTGGGGTAACACATACAGATTGGTCATTACATTACATCATGTACCTGATCTGCTTTTTAAATTTGTATTTTTTCATATTACAGGTAGCTTTACCTCCCAACAAATCAGATCAGATCTGGTGGGTAGACACAAACAAATTTTTACAGCAACGGCTAACTAAAAGTTACTGTATCCACACATGCTATGGTCAATGATCTCCTAATAAACTGGAGAAGCTTTAATCTTCAATTAGCAGACTACCTCCACAGCCACTTTTCTGCTTTGCCTGCATATTGATCAGGCTCCACAATGATCTTACCAGCAGGAACTAGTCCTGCATAGCTGAAGTTTAAGATAGCCATGTGTGAACCCCCTTCTTACACTTGTCTGATGTCAGTCTTTAAGAAAACGTAGCAAATGCCCATCTTTGACAGAAACAACAAAAAATATAACCTCAGACACAAACAGGATGATATGAATGACATCCTGGAATTTTGTTGTAACTCTTATAACACTATGAAGTTTATCTAGGACTCCTGGACTTCAATCCATATGATATTTTGCTTTTAATATTTTGTTTCTTCCAATTTGTTCTTTTATCCCTGCTATCCCAAGTTATACAGTATTGACTTAACCTCTTGTGTACAGCAAAGCACGATTCAAAGAAATCACATTGTTTCCCTGCAGTGTCCTTGTCTTTTGGGGCAGGAAGTCCTCAAATTAGAAATTCAGAAAAACAGTAAGTTGTGCCTTACCTCATAGACCTATTAGCCCCTCAAGTAATCCATAAGGCTGTTCTAATGTCATTCTTTTCTTCTACTGAGACAAGCAGAAGACATCTGAACAACAAATTACTTCAGTTATCTGAGTACAAAGATCTTTCAAAATGTATAAGCATACAAAAATGATGGGTGTACTCCAAGTTTCTGTATCTCACTACTGCTTTGTATTTACAACATAAACTCTTTGGAGAAGAGCCTTCATAAAGCCAATGTTTGAAGTGTCTGACTCTTCAACAGTAAGAACTTCAGCCTATCAGCAAAACAACAAATTACTTCAGTTATCTGAGTACAAAGATCTTTCAAAATGTATAAGCATACAAAAATGATGGGTGTACTCCAAGTTTCTGTATCTCACTACTGCTTTGTATTTACAACATAAACTCTTTGGAGAAGAGCCTTCATAAAGCCAATGTTTGAAGTGTCTGACTCTTCAACAGTAAGAACTTCAGCCTATCAGCAATTAAGATGCTGCATGTACACATTCTTTCTGTTAGATAACTCCGAAAACCCTCTCTCTGTAAATAACACTGGCTTTGTACTCAGAGCTGCTGCAAAATAGAGGACTTTACTCTTCAATTCAGTCAGCTGTTCTTACCAACAATACCTGCCTTTCAGACACCCAGACTTCTAAGAGTGTTCAAGTCCATGAGCTCAGTTAGGTTAAAACAGCTGAGTGCTAATCCCATTTATTTCAAAACAGACCTTAATTACAAATAAACAAAGCCTGAGAAAGAAACAGACTCACCTTTCTCTCGATTCATTTCATCAGAAAAGCTACAATTCAGAGACACTAACTACCTTTTTCTCTGCTGGTCTCAGGGAGCTCTCAAGAAAAAGCAGAATTGGAAGCTAATTTATTGTTTCATTTCAGTGACCTAACATGCATAGGTAACCTGGCAACATGTTTGATAATACTGAAATAAACGAACAGGGAAATGCTATTCTAAAGCTAGGATTTTAAGTTCAAAATGCTTAAGATCATAAAATTTTGGGGATTACAAACTGTAAATGAGGTCAGTTTAATTACATTGCCCAACACGTGTCCATTCTGCCACTGTGCTCTGGCCCCACTATCACTGGAAGGTCTTTGTCCCAGTCCCTAG